ACATACGTGAGTATTTTTAAGGTCACAGTCGAACAAAAGAAACTCAAGCGACAGAATCGGAGTAGTTTAAAAAAGATCCATGACAATAAAGAGCATGATTCATCCCCTGTGGAAAACATAGAAAGTGACTCAGTTCCTCCACCATCGAAATCATCAAGTAAGTATCAGTTATAAAAAAAATAATGTTCTAATCTAGATAAACTGTAAATGTGATTTCTGATTTTAAGAAAGTTGTGTTATTAAATTTTTAATGGCTTATATTCCATTCAAAAGAAAGCATATATAATACATATAAATCAATTTTGAGGTTTTACGATTTTTTCACTGAGAGTGTGGTTATGATTTGAATGCATAATTTTGATCATTGTATTTGATTTCAGAAATTCCAACAGAAACTGTTTTACAAAATTTAAGTTCACTCACTGCGGAATTTAATGCTGTTGTGGATTGAAAACGATTTATTTGAAACATTCTTCTGTTGTTTAAATTTTTCATTGTTCGTATTTCATTCATTTAATATTTTTTCTGTTACTGAAAATATTTTTGATAGTAATAGTTAATGTGAGACACTTCTATATGAGATGTTAAAAATTTTAGTGAGTAGTTTTATACCAAGCGGTTTTAGATGAAACTGTTTGGTATAAAACTAAGATAAGCAAAATTCTATTGTTTTTATCCGTACGTTCATGTTATTTCCACAGTCACCATAATAGAAGTTTTTTATTTGTAAATATAATTGCAGGCAAATACCAATTTACAGAGGGTTTTTTTTTACAACGCGTTTTATTTTCGTATACTTGTCATTGCATGTGTTTTTAATTTCCTCGGTCACTAACGAATTGTGCATGATTCTGATATGAAGAAATAAGCAAATACACTGAGCTGTTTATTACGATTTTGATGTTTCCAGTGCAGTTTAGTTTTGTGGTGACTATGGAAATATGTCTTGTATCTGATGGAATTGTTTATAGTGATTTTTAACAATAATAATGAAGCTGCTCTTTGTAGTGTATAGTTAACATATGTATTAGCTAGAGATGTTTGAAATAGAATATTATATCAAGCTAAAGTCCCGTTTTACTATGAGCCTATGAACTTTAGGAAAAACCAAAGTATCGTATGTGTGTTCGGTATTGTATGAGGAATTTACCGTGACATAAAAATTTTAAATTAAACGTATTCTGGTCCAGCATATTTTCTAGAAGTTGCCATTGCTAATATTTCACTGTTCAGTGAGATATTCTGAAGCTTTTTTAATCATTAACAATAAAGTTTATATCGAATGGAGGAAGACATAGTCTTTTTATAAAGAGAATGTAGTGTTCGACATATTGTTACAAATTGCGAAATAATGATGTTTAATCAGTTCAATATCGCGAATAGAGTTTTGTGATTTAAGTGATGTTGTGAAATATGAAGATGAAGTGGTAAATATTAATTCATTACGGGATAAAGGATTTTGCATAAAATTTATGGCATCCAATTTCCGGTATTGCTGTTTTTGCAACTTTCTTCTATAGACTTGTGAATAAAATGGTGCTGCGTGGGAAAAATGCAACGCTGGTGGTTATTGGAGATATTGGCCGAAGCCCACGAATGTGTTATCACGCTAAGTCGTTGGCCGATAAAAATTATCGAGTGCAAATAGTGGGCTATACAGATTCAGAAATACATCAATTCATACAGCAGCATCCATGCATTAGGTATTTAATAATATTTTTACTTTGGCTTATACGATTTATAATCGAAGTGCAGGTAGTTAAATAGTAATACTCTGCCTTTTGATATCAACATGCCAAATGTATATCTATTATAAGGATAAGTTATTTTCCCAAGCAGTATTTACTGTACAAACTGTAGTCTTAACTGCTGGGTTACTTGCTTAAGATCCTGGTTTTATTATTGGTTTATTTCTTTATTTTAATTATTTGTTTTTGCAGTATTGTATCACTAAAATGTCCGCCAGAATACATCTGTAAACTGCGGCCTATCTTTGCTTTGGTACTGAAATTTTTGTGGACTTTAATTGTTCTATTGTTAACGCTATTCTTTCGAATAGATTGGCCTCTATTGATTATGGTCCAAAATCCTCCTGGATTACCATCTCTTTTTGCTTGCTGGCTGGTTGTTTCTTTTACTTCTATAATATTTTATTTTTTAAAAAATTAGTTAGGCTTGCATGAAACATCGAAAAAATGTGTTATTTTCTATATTTTAATTCTTTTCTTATTATTACATTATCTTTTGAAATGTTTTCTAACACATAAAATTTCAGTGTGCTCGTGTTAGAAGGGCACAGTTTATCATTGACTGGCATAATTATACTTATTCGGTATTACGCAAAAAATATAATATCGATGAAATACGTGTTGGTCGTGCTTCAGATCGACGAGTGCAGAATTCTTTAAATTGTTCTGACGATCATGGCTTGGGTATTGTTGTTTTTGATAGCATTATATGGGGTTTTTTAAATCTATGGTTAATTGTTCGAGAATTTGGAAATATGTCGCAGGCTAAAGTTTTATCTGCATTTCAGTAAATGATGTTTCTGATATGCGTGGAAAAAGAATGACACGAGTAGAACGAGCTGTTCAGGCTGCAGCAGCAACAGCAAATAGGAGGAAACGCCAAGCTGATCGAAAGAAGAGATGTTCAATCATGCAGAGGTTAGATTCTAACGTTAGCTTCCTTTGATTCATAATTTGCAGTATATGAATGTTACCTAATAATAAGTTTTTTTAATTAGATTTTTTTTCCTTTTTGAAGATTTCTTTCAGATATGTTGAGCAAATGTATTATTGGGAAGGTTACTTTGGCCGTCGTGCCGATTTAAACGTTTGTGTAACTCATGCTATGCGGCAAGATATGTTTGATGCATGGGAAATAAGTGCAGCTACAGTATATGATCGGCCTCCAGACTGGAGCTTTCGAAAGTTGACTGATGAAGAGCGACATAAATTTCTTTTGAAATTAATTGATTACGGTGGAGAATTCGAAATTTTTAAAACTGTTAATAATCCGAGCCTACAGCGAGATTGCATTTTCATGGAAGGTTACTTTCATTGCACATTTGATTTAGTTTACAAGTGCTCGATTTATGCAATAGAAAAAAATAAAGATCTTGTTACTTTTTTCTTCTAGAAACTCTACTTTCTTATCGTGATAGTGGAAATAAAGTGCATCTTCGAAATGATCGTCCTCTACTTCTTGTTTCATCTACAAGTTGGACAGAAGATGAAGATTTTGGACTTTTGCTTGATGCGCTTCGTGAATTTGATAATATTGCTAAACTTTCTTCAAAAGCGTACGTTTCCTTAAATTAACTAATTTTTTCCAAATATTTTATTTTTTTCTGAGTATTGCTTCATAAATATCTTATTAGGAATCCAGCAACTCGGCTGCCATTCATAATATGTATAATTACTGGACGTGGACCTTTGCGGTCATATTATTTGGGTCGCATTGAGCATATGCAAATGCAAAATGTTGAAATATTAACACCTTGGTTAAAAGCAGAAGATTATCCACTTTTGCTTGGTTGTGCTGATATCGGAGTCTCTCTGCATACTTCCACATCAGGTAATAAGTTGATTTGATATAATAGTTTCAGTAGCTCGTGCGATGATCAGTTTTATTCTTAGAAATGAAGATAAATGTAAAATAGATGTTAACAAAGGGATTTGTAAACCCATTTTTATTTTTAAATTTCTGATACGTGTTATTCGAAAAATCAGTATGATTGAAACGTTATTTAAGACTCATGATTTGACGATTAAGGTCTGGATCTACCAATGAAGGTGGTGGATATGCTTGGATGTGGTTTACCTGTCATAGCTAAACGATTTGGTTGCATTGGTGAGCTTGTTTCAGATGGTCATAATGGGCGACTATTCGATACTACTCATGAACTTTCACATATTATTAAATCATTGACATGTGGTTTTCCTCTTCATTGCAGTGTTAGGTTTTTATTCATATTAGAAATTTAAATCATCGTAAATAGATTTAAAACGATGGAGAAGCTCCTGCTATAATAAACATAAATGAAACTATCCTTCGTGTCTGCAAACTCACTTACTTTCTTTGGTTCTGCAGGATCTAAAAATAAAGGGTATTATTGCCATTTTCTCATTACTCTTTAAAGTATCTTTTATCATAGAGTGTTTCTCAATATATTTTCTCTAATCTTTTCACTTGTTTTTCTCAATATACTTTCTTGATTTCTTCAATTCTTTCCAATTTTTAGCATCTCAAAATTTCATCTCAAATTTTGTGCTTAATTGAAGTTGTCAAATTTTATGTATTCAGCAACTGAATGCACTAATATCAAATGTTCATTCCGATCCTTTAATATCGTGGAACAAAAGCTGGGATGCGTGCATGTGGCCTTTGGTACGAAGTTATGGAGCTTTATCAGTTGAGGATCTGGCACGACGTCAAAGGTATTTAATTTTTAACTGTTCTTCACTTATTCAATATTATATAAAAAATGATAGCAGCGTTGCTATAAGAAAATTGATAGATGATAGTCTCCAATATCCGAAGACATTATTTAAAAATCTCGTTGAAAATTACTTTCCCAGGGAAGAAATTCTGAAAGGTAACCTTTCTCACCCTAATGAAAGAATTCTGCGGTAATGTTTTGTCTGCATAATTTGTTCTTAAGATTTGCTGTGATCTCACTTCAAAATGGACTAGAAACTGTTGAAATAAATGACATATCGAAGCTGAAGCAACAAGATAATGATGAGCATGTAAGCGTCAGATTTGAAAATGAAACTGCAGAGTTGAAACTGGAAATTAAAAGTAATGAAGCAGCGGATGATTGCGATAATAATTGTTTATGAGAAATGATGGGAGACCTGGAAAAATTCAGCTGATATTTAAGATAAAATTTTCGATTCAAAAAATTAGTTTTACATGACTTTGTAGATTTTATGTAATTGAAAGAATTTGATTCATTTTGATTTTCTTGTGTACAAGAGATTAAAAGCTTTAATTTCCTGTGATTGGTAATCTATATTTGTTGTCTGAAGTTTGTGCAGCCATTGTTTTTCTATTCTTATCTGTTATGTTTTTATGATATTCCTTCATTCTTTGTTTCTTATTTTGCGGCTATCCACATGAAAATTAGAAGCAATGTGTTTTTTAAAGATATAAATTAAAAAAAGAGTTATCTACCTTATCACAAGAAAACTTTTCTTTACTGATTCTTAGGGGCTAATAGCTGTTGCTCATCGTATGATCACAAAAATAATGAAAGAGGACTAGAGATGGTCCACATAATTAGCCATCATTGTATTATTAGAATTTACAAGCTCTATCATTCTGTTGTTGTGTTACTTTTGTATGTGATTAATTTATTTACATACTCCATACTGTAGTAATTTTTTAATTGACTATATTCATCAAATTTTAAACGCTGGTTTTGTTTTGAATTTATTTCATAATTACAAATTTTTATTAAATACCGCAGTTTTAAATAGAATGTGGACTGAATGCTTTATATGGAGCTTCAAAACAAGATATTTATTATTTACTCTTCTTTAGTTTCTGTCGTCTGGTGGCTCGAAACAGTCAGTGAGTGGGACATTTTCCGAACTATGTGTTCAGTTGGTCGTTAGAATAATGCATTCTTGATGCAACTAAGTGGAACTGTCCACAATAATCGGTTTTGTAAATGCTTTACCTTCTCACACATTAATATTCCTCTTCTGTTGAAATATGAGACATTTAGACACTGTATTATTTTACAGTAAAAATGTTAACGCTGGTTACGATTGTGTGCATCCTTTCAATAGTTCCTACCTTCATTTTCTCATTACTTATCATTGGTTGCTGTAAGTTTCTCTCTCGATTCAGACATTTCAAACATATCTTAAATAATTAATATCGAACAATACGTTTTCTAATCATTTTAAGGAAATATTTTTGATGTATGAAAATTGCAAAGTTTTTTCAAAATTGATTCAAAATACAACAGAGTGTTTTCTAATCGATGTGAAGCTATGCAACAGACAATCTGTCGTACTAATTTGATAAAAATACAAATTTATACTGATATAATGGTCTCACAATTAATGTTATATACCACCTCTAACTATCCTACTATATTTGATAATATGATTATTATATAATTGAGCCATTCTTTTACTAGCGGTGATTGTTATGAATTAAAAAATGGCAGTTAAGAGGGAACAATATGACTGTTCTAAGTTTGACCATCCAAATAAAATATTTTAAGAGAGATGACCGCCTGTTGAGTTCTTTCAGTAATACTGAGAGCAGTGCATTGAACACTAGGCCTACTTTGATGTACAAATTCTTTAGCTTCCAAAAAAGCGCAACCTGTAATAGGCAAAGAAGGGGAAGGAAAAAAAGATGAATCAGCAGTTCACCAACAATCAACACCTGCAGCAGTACCTTCTTCTACACCTGCAGAAAAGGTTTTCATCAACTATTTGGAAATATTTTTCACTTTTCAAGACCGAATATAAGAGCGAATATATTACAGCTATTGTTTGTGTAATTAACAAATATGTGTTGTACAGTATTGAATTGATTTTTCGCTTTTCAGAAACCAAGCGAAAAAAAAGCAAGCAAAGAGGTCTCTTTTCAATTCTATCATTTTTCTCCTTAATGACACCTCTCTAATAACACAAACATATCCAAAATAGGTCACAGAAGTTGAGATCGCTTGTCACGGCAAAAGAATGGATGCGAAACAAGTTAATGGAATGTTAACATAGAGAAATATGCTACCCTTCGGTTTAAGGATCAAAAGAAATTTAAAATAGGAGCATGAAGAAGGTTAAAATCCAACAAATTGATTGGAAAAAGCAATTTTTCGCGGTTGCAGATTGAGCCGAAAAAAGAGACTGATGGTGCCGCGGCTGGAGGAGGTGGTAGCGGTGATGGGGAAGATGGAGGTTACGAAGCATGTCCTGATATGACACCTGAGCAACTAGCCAAAATTGCAAATGAATCTCCACCAAAATAAGTTAGTAAATAATGCACATAAAAACAGATAAAGAAATAATAGAAAAAAGAAAAAGAAACTGAATTTGAAGTGTTATTTATTTGTATGGAAAAATTGTGAAAGAAAGAAATGAGTAGGAAAAAGCTGAAATGATCCATACGAGTCCTTGGATCTCATAGTGATTCTTTGACTTCACTGCTTGAATATATTTACAACTTTATCAACAAGAAGTAAAATTCGTTAATAAATTTAAAGAATGGATGGTGTGTGTAAATATGAAATGTCAAAATCAGAAGTTAGAAAACTGATTAGTCGCTAATCATTATTATTATTGCAAAATGTTGAAACGATTACATTTCCTGGATATTACTGAATATTCGATGTGTCATCAATATTGCGAAAACTCATACGATACAATATAGTATATACTGTGATACAAATTTATCCACAACTTGTCAATTTCCTAACTACAAAAGTTAGAAAATGATTGTCATGTTTAATACTTCCATCTCTCTTACTCCAACAAATCTTAGAAATTTTTAGAATTCATGAAGATTATTTGGTAACAAAAATGTATTTCCTTCCATTTCTCATATTACTGCAATGTCGATTTTCTTTTTAAACTGCTCAGGCATATCATGGAATATATTTCTTTCAAACTTTAGCAATGCTCATCACATTTGGCTGTTATAGTTTTAATCATAGGAAAACACATACTTCACAATGGCTCATAGATAATAGCGAAATGTTAAACACACATAAAGGTAACAATAGCGCCGGCAAGGTATTAAACACACATAAAGGTAACAATAGCGCCAGCGAGCAATGTGTGTACATAATTGAGGATAATGATGACGAAGTGGAACTCACTGATCCGTTGCACATGTAAAGTTAACATGAAGATGAGAGTGGAAAGGATGAATGAGTGGAGATATTTCCGATAGGAAGGTTGGAGTTCATTCTTTTCCTCGTTCTTCGAGACAGAACGAGCAGTAGCCGTTGCATGCAGGCAGTATCTGTTTAGAGGAATTAAATCAAATGAAATACATCAACACTAAGCTAACACAATTTGGATTGTTTCAATTACTGTCAAAAATTCCTTCTAAACGATTACTTAATTAATCATAAATACTAACTCTTCTTGGAATTGAATGTGATCAATAATTTATTCTAAGTCTCAAAAGCGTTTTCAAGGAGTTCCATTGGTACTCTGCTCGGAAAAGTTTGTTAAAAATAATCTGTACATAATGGATGAAGCAGAAAGTTAAAAGAATATTCTTACTTTTATCCATACCAGAAATATATGCAATTTACCTGACAGTGCAGTGAGCGAAAGCAGAAAAGATGAGATAAAGAACTGCATGACGATGGGGTGGCCAAAGTTCGTACATCTTTCTTAATTTCATACATTCTTTCTCATAGCAGAGAAACTGAAAAGTACTCCACTTCTAGGAAAACAGCGAATTGCTTTTTCAAATAAATGAAATCCAAAATATATAGTTCAAATTTAGTGAATTGTTCTAATTTAATTAATATTTACCGCAAAAGTCTTCGATATGTTTTTAAAATCGTTTCGAAATATTCATATGACGTAAAAAAATTTTACATGAGAAATGCACGACCTTTTCGAAATATCCAATGTGTGAAGGCTGGAAAATTATCGCAGATAATGCTAGATGAAGTACTGTTGCAACAGACAATTGTAGCAACAAACTTAACCAGCAAAGATATTTCTTACAGTTCTTCGGGAAAAATCTCGAAGTAATGAGAGCATCAAAATACATCATTTGCTATCAGAACTAGAGAGGAGATCGATAAGAAAGATTAACAAATTTTGTTTATCAGTTTTTTCTTTCTTCAATTTAGAGGAACATTAAGATGAACAAAATGTCTTGTATCTCATCTTTTAAGCATTGACAAGGAGTTGAAAATAAATTTACAATGACGATATTACTGTTTTTGCAGTGCACTTCTAAAACATTAATAATTTCAAAACCCATATTTGTTTTTTCTTTTTATAAAGTTCTTTATGGAATTTGAAAAATAACAGATATCGTATCGCCGCTATTACCAATATCAAGAAGCATTGTCTTGATCGGGAACACAAAAATATCTACTTAGCATCAACAAAAACTTCAAAAATACAGCTCTGAAAATATGTGCAGTTTGTAGTGCTCGCTGAATGTGTACTCCTTGACCTAGTTGTGAGGGAAGACAGTGACCGATTTCCGATTATTGTTGCCATTGAGAATTGCAAAGCGAATGTAATATGGTAACTTGGAAAAAAGGGCGAAAAACTTGTCTGTAATACCATAAATGATCTCCAAATCTCAGGAATCGGATCATCTGTCTTGGGACGGATTACTTGACATAGGAATTTGAAGAGGTGCACGGAATGGATTAGCAGTCCCATACTTCTCCTAAGTTTGGTGGTCAATCGCGCACAAAATTTATCTTTCTTCTTGCTTTTGTCCCATTGTTATAAGGTGAAACATACTAAGCCACTGCTAATTTCGGAAATCCAAACTCCAACAAAACGACTAGAAATGGTAACGTCCATTGAAGTTCATGCTATGAACAAGAAACACTTCCATATCTTTTACGAATTTATGATTGGCATGACAGCGCTTCAAATAATTATTCATTTCGAAAGCCTGAGCAGTTGATATATATTTATGACAATTTATTCCCTTTATGCGTTCCCATACATAACAGATGAAAGTAAAAATAAGTTAAAAAACAATGTAAAAAAGTTAAACAGCAAAAAAACCGTACTGGATTCGTTATAATACATTTTAGTTTTAGCTAGTAAAACAACAATCACATTATATCAAGAATTTTCTTCAGATGAACCACTAACTGCCAATCTGTCTTTGATAAATCATTTCGGAAATGTGTTTTGCAAACATCTATTGTCTCACGTGTTATCTGAATTAAGGAAATAAGCTTCATACAAAATAAGATCCCATTTCTACCTTTCCTTGATGCTGAATATCTAGCTGTTATTACAAATGTTAAAATCAATTCAATTTCCCAATTCAAAGAGTTATTTTAAAATGTGACACGATTTAGCATTTTAAATTAACGCACGTCAACAAACAGTTGACAGTACCGACACTATTCGAAATTTACTAAAAATCAAAATTTTCATAAATCCTGACAATACGAGTCTGAGTAAAAACACAAATACACAATGAAACATAAGTTTCTTACTTTCTTAAAATCTGGAGAAACTTACCCGACTGACTAATGTATCTTGATGCGTAAAATGCCTTCCATAAAGTTTTGGTGCTTCGCCAGTGGTATTTTCTATTTTTATGCAAACTTCTTCCCCTGCACGAGCTATTTCTACCTGTTCATGATTCTTCTCAATACTTGACACGGTGCCGATGAAGATAGACTGAAATTGAAACTCAGAGAAAAATAACTAAGAAAATATGACTTCAGCTTTCTGAATAGATAAGCAGGAAGCAAAAACAGCCTCAAAAATTAATAAGAACATACGTCTTTAGAGGGAACACACAACGGAACACCCCGTTTGAGTTGTCCAGCTTCAACAGATACACCAATTATAATGGGATTACGGGCATTAAATATGTGTTGCGGAAGAATTCTCAATTTGCATGGAAAAATTGCTAAATGTTCATTCTGTCGTCGGCGTTTAAGTCTCAACTCTTCTCTGAAATTCAGAAACAATAGACAAACCCTCCTTTCACTTTTGTGGATCTATTTCTTGTGTCTTCACGTCCGTGAATACAAACATGATTCCAATGTCCAACGGATCGCAGTTGCGATAACAATAAACAAGGAATGTGTCATGCACCACAATGTTTGAAACATACATATTTGTGAAAATGACTGATAATACTTGAAGAGTTAAAAATTCAATTTCCTCATAAAACTTCAACGGATTTTTTTATGAAGCACATATTTTGGATTTCAAACTGATGTTATTTTTTCGAACATATCACTTCTGCTTTCTATGATGTCAAAATCATATACCTGTATTTCAAGAAACTATCCTCCAGATGATAAATAATGTCAGCGGAGAAAATGCGAACACCTTCACTAGCTGCAAACTGTTCAACTTCACGATCAACACGAACATCAAATGCAAGTATGCAAGCATACTCTTCTTTTCTTTCCAGCATTGCTGCTGCTTTCTGCACGTCTTTTTTATGAACTGGTCCGATATTCACGTTTGAATATGGTATTTTTTGCGTCTAAAAATGAAATTTTTTTAAAAATAAGAGACTTATAAATTTACATAGGAAAAAACAAAGAAAAATTTGTCTTTGAAATAAATAACATAACTACAGAAAAAGTTTCAGAAGAATAAAATCATACCCTCAGGAACTCCAATAAAGCTTCTAATGAGCCTAGTGTACTAGCGTGAACGTATACACCTTCAGGTTTCTTCTTGATAGCCATAAGAGCTTTTGATAACTGCGCTTCACAGTCTTCTCTGAATAAAACATATTTGCGATGTTTATATAAGCAAAAAATTTCCAGGAAACGAGGAACCCTCCTCATTATTTTCAGGAATAGAAAGCATACTTGAGTACGAAAAGTTCATCTTCCCGATTTGCAACAAACAATGGCAAGCCAGCGAGTGCTTTTTCCAAATTCTTTGCAAGCACTTTAACTCCTTGTGCACCTTTTATCATTTGATAATGTTCATATGCATTCTAAAAATGTGCCAACATTTATATATATAGATGAAATGTACTCTTTACTTAAGCATATTTCATGTCTGTCACCAAACATAACCGAAATGACTCAAGACTGCTTACATAAAAACCTCAATTGTAACTGTATTGCTTTTCAAATTAAACTAAAACATTAAATAAAAAATTAATTGTACCTTGACTCTCAATTCTTTCAAAGGCTGAGGCATCAACAGCTCACGAATCTGAGTGATAATAGCCCCATCAGTACCCGTAAGAACAATAATATCGCCTACTTTTAACAAACCATTAACTAGTATAACATCTATTGTAGTTCCTAATCCAGGAAGAGACTTAACCTGAAAAAAAGTACAAATTTTCAATCTTATTATTAGATATATTATAATATATTACACTATTAGAAACAAGGATTAGAAAAAAAAATTATACTATTTTCCTTGCCTCCATAATGGTACACGAGTGAGGAGAAACTGTATTAACCTTCCCCTTGGCCCCTATCCCTTGTGCCGCTTTTTAGCAGTTACCCAAAAATTAATCAGATATCAAAGCGGTTCAAGTACCGACTAGATATTCAGATGCGTTATTGTGTATGAATGACGGTGAATACACAGTAAACACCACCTATCACAGATAACGGAAAAAAAAATTATACTATTTTCCTTACCTCCATAACGGTACAGTCAAGCTCTTCGAAATATGCTAACTTCTCAGCTAGTCTATTCTGAGAATCATTAATAATATGCGCCATAATATTACCAATACCATCTCCAAGAAATGCAGAAGTTGGGACCATACTAATATATTCGTTTAAATCTGGATTTTCGTTCGCCATAACAACGTTTACTCCCTTAAAAAGATGAGATAACATACAAATGAATTAAAACCAATCTAATTCTCGTGCAAATATGTCTATTAGTAGGGTAAACTTTATAGTGTTCTAGCTTCATCTAGGTATTAATCAAAACTATCTAATTCTCAAAGCATTTTTTTATTTTTCTTGAATTAAGATGGTCAAGATAAATGTACCTGTTCAGCGAACTGTAACACAACTTTATCTTTAAGTTCTTTGAACTGCAGCTGGGTATTGAGTGGTTGTGATTTCAAATGCTGGTAGATATCTTTTCGTGGATTTGATTCGTAATCGTATAAACGATCGATCTGAATTCCATCAACCATGAGATATGATAATTATATAGGAAAAAACGATATAAAAATACAAAAACTGCGCTAAAAATTACTTTATTCAGTGCTATTACAAATGGAGTTTGCCTCTTCCTCAGCAAATTAAGCGATTCGAGTGTCTGCTGTTCAAGCCCATGCATCAGGTCGACAACCAAAATTGCATAATCACATAATGAAGAACCACGAGATCGTAAATTCCTGCAAAACTATGCTTGGCACTCAAAAAAACATATTAGATTTTATACAGAAATAAATCTCGTACAGCATCATCCATATGGTCTCATTCATTCACTATATCACTCCCATACAAATTTGATTGTGTGCATTTGTTTTGGTTTTATTTCTAATATTCCCACTATTTAATAAATTTTTTACTCTCCGTTCCGCATCTTTCATGCAACAATAATTTGAATCTTTCAGTATAAAGGATATATAGCAAGTTATATGAGAAAAAGAGAAAATCCCTCAAAGCAGCTCCGGTTAAAACATTAAATAATTATGGATGCTTACAATGCCCACTTCCTATGAAAAATTATATTCAATAGTGTATGGAATTTATTTCACATTGAACAGAAATATTTCAGATTTTCCATTGATACTTTTTATCCAATAGATTACTGTCATTTCAACACTGCGAAGATACTGGATTTTGTAGGTTATATCATTATCATGACATTTACTATCAAAAATAAAAGAACTTACGAAAAACTTTCGTGACCCGGAGTGTCAATTATTAAGAGTCCAGGAATTTTCATTTCACTGCCATTAAACTGAAAAAAAAAAACTGTAAAAAAATATGGGTAAAATGCAAAGTGACAAAAAATTAGAGCGGAAATGAAGAAATTTGAATTAACACTCACATCTCGAACCATTTTCGTGCGTTCCATAATTGCAGCAGCCGGCACTTGTGTAGCACCGATTTGCTGTGTTATTCCGCCAGCTTCTCCATCTTGTACATTTGTGCGTCGTATCTATTAAATAAACAGTTGAAACATATATCAACTAAAAAAAATAAGCAGAACACAATCACACAATAAAACGAAGGAATTGAAGTACCGTATCCAACATCTTCGTTTTTCCTGTATCGACATGTCCAAGCACACAGATGACTGGTGATCGTAAGTTGTTTATTGAACGTTTAGCTTCAGCTTGCTCACGTCGTTTCTAAAACGAAATTCTCAAAAAATAAAACAACACTCACCGAGTCAAAAGATGAAAGTATAACCTTCAAACGTGCTCGAACTTTTTCTTTCAATTGTTCTTTGCTCTCTCGACTTTCGTGCTCATCATCACTGGTTTCTTCCTCGTCTTCTTCATCGAATTCTTCTGAAGAATCGGAGCTTCCTGCTTCTTCAACGTATTGTTCTGACCCAAAATCCAACGAAAGGATCTGCAACAGTAAGATAAATCATCTGCATATTCTTAGTTTCTTCAGGAAAAATGAAATAATGCTATGACTTGAAGAAAATTACAAACCTCATCTTTTGCAGGAGTAGTTGCTTGCCTTACAACACATGATGCCACTTCTTCCTCCCCATGCATATTTTCCCAGTTGTCAATAACGTCATCCGCCGCATCCCACGAACTAAGTATTTCTTCATCTTGTGGCTTTACCGTCTCAAGATATTCTGGAGTTTTTACCTCTGCAGTTGGTAAAGACTGAACACTTTCTGGAGCCAGTTCTAGAACAGAACAATGTAAAATAAAATCAGTAATATCACAAGAAGAACCAAAATAAAAACACTTAATCAAAATAAGGACTTGGAATTAGTAAACTGTAGTGAAAAAAAAACCTCTGTTGTCTTGTTTCAACTCTTTTTTCGGTTTTTTCTTGCCATACACAGGACGTTTCACCGGCGCCTCTTCATTTTCTCGCCTTAGCGCACTTGGAATTATGATGTCTAAAAAATATGAAACAGCGAATATTAATCCGCTACTTACATTAATACATTATTTGACATGATCAATCAGAAAGCCATACTTGAATTAGCTAACAATGCTTGTTGTCTCCTCAGCTTTTCTTTCTGTGCTGGTGTAAGATACTTTCCCTCTGCCTTCAACTTTTCATCACGTTCTTTTTTCTTCTGTTTTTCACGTTCTCTCTTCTCCTTGGCCAATCGTTCCTAAACAAAAATACCTACTTTAGAATTTGAAGACTCCTCAATCCCACATAGAGGCAGTAAATTAGCAAAAAAAAAAGTTCACTTCTTCTTCCTTCGCTTTTTGTTGTGCAATCAACCTCTCCTCCTCTTCCTTCTGCTCCTTTAGTATCCTTTCCTCTTCCTCTTGCTTTCTACGCAATATTTCTTTGATAAAATCGACCTGGAAACATGTCACTTTATCTAGATTGGAAATCACATAATCCATCTGAAGTGATAGAGGCACTTCATAACAATTATACAGAAGCAAAATCCCCACATAAATTATAGAAAACAATTACAAATAGACACTACATAATTATGTTAGAAATAAAGTCAAACGTACATGTTTCTTCTTTTTTGTTTCCTTCTTGTCTCCATCCTTTCTTGCATCACCTTTCTTTTTCTTCTTTTTTTCTGTTGTATCACTTGCCTCAAAGAAATCTATTCAAACAAACTTCGAGTCTTTAAATTTTTAAACATTTACTGTAAAAAGTAGCAGATTTTCTAAACTAATAGCCATGCTTCGACGGGTCAATGTAGTTTCTCACTTTTTGATTTTCCATTGAAACAGCATCTCCTTCAATAAGTGATTCAAACTCTGCTGGTTTTTCCTTTTCTGCTGTACTTTTTTTCTTTTTCTTTCTATCTTTTTTCTTGGCCATAACATCTCCGGCATCAACTGTTACAGAAGCTATTTCTTCAGCTTTATCAGCATCAACTGAAATAATCTTTTGTGATATACATGGTCCAAAAGTTACAGGACATGAAATACTAAAGCCAGGCAACCTGGGAAATTAATCTCACATAACATTCTCTCAACTTCAATGAATAAATAATTTGCCTGTAACATTTTCAATAGTTGAAGATATTTTCAAATTTTCATTAGCTCCTATTTTTGCTGTGTAAGACACACCAGAAGCTGCCCCTTTTTTCTTCTTTTCTTTCGATACTTTTTCCCTTGGTTTCTCGAGATCCGCAAGCAAAGCATCCAAATCCTCATCTTCTTTCAAACACTAAAATGAGCTTATGATCATAATGGGATAAAAGAAGTACCTTAACTAAACATATGCTCAGTTCACAAAAATCACCTTTTTGCCTTTTTTCCCCTTTCCTTTTCCCTCTTCCTTTAACTTTATTGTTGTTTGTTGCTTAGAAAACCCTTTTGCCTCATTGGGTTTATTCTTTTCATTCATCTTCCTTCTTTCTTGTTTGTTTTCTTCAATCTCGTCTGCCTTATCAGAATCTTCACTAACATTTTCTTCCTTCTCCGTATCATCGTCCTCAGAACCACGCTGAAACATGAAAGAGTTGTTAAATATAACTAAACAACATTTTGCAGAAATTCTAGTCAAAATATCAGTAATCCAGACTTTACGTTAACCACGGCTACTTCCACCTGACTGATCCAGTAAGGAGAGAATAAAACAATAAAGGAGAGCTGCAAGAAATAAGCAAGCCTCTGAGTAGAAAGTTTGGCCTAATAAATGACGAAAATAGACGTACTTCAGCAAGCACATTGAATGCTCCACTTTTCCCTTTTCCATAAGCAGGTACCATTGTTTCGTCCTCACTCCCATCGTCGTCACCAGTCTCAGAACCAGATGAGAGTTTCAATTCTGCTATTTTGGTATCCAGATCTTCCGACCTATTTACTACCGGGCTTTTAATGCAAAATAACGGAATGAAACCATGAAACTTGGTAAAATTTTCACAGTAATGTTGGTAGCAGGTTACCGCGGCAAGGTAACTAAGTTCATTCCCCACAAAGAAGAGAAAGTCATATATAACTTTTCAAAAATACAGCAACAGAAGCTTTTTAATTTTAGTCCACTACTGTAACACTTTGGTGAGACTAAGGTCAATAAGAATGCTTTCACGATCTTACCAATCATTCTTCTTATTGCTCTTTTTCTTCTTTGTTGCCATTCTCAAGCGAAATCATTTACTTTGTGAACTGAACTCTGTCAGTCAATTGAATATGATCGGAGTGGTAACTAGCTGAAACTGACCCGACTCTTACTAGGAATAATTCTCGGGACCCATCCAACAAACGACATTAATGAATCAGGCCGACAGCTCCCGTCCATCACCACTTCAATCAATCCATGAAAATGACAAGAATGCAGTTTGCCCAGATGATTGGAGTCACTATGAGATTAATGATCCCAATGCATTTCGATTTAAGTTTCAGACTGGGTTGTCCTTCGATGGATGTCTTTCGATTCTTCGGTAGGCAAGTTCTTAATTTATTTCTGATTACTGTGAAGATCACCTTAATCGTTATTATTTGTATGAAAAGAATAAGTGGTCATTATAGTTGCTGAAATTGAAATGGACGCAGAATATGAAGATACATCGTTGTTCGTTAAAGGTAATGGTTTCAGTTAGCACTGAAAAGGACCCGCTAACAAAAAAGCCAACCTTACTTTAGTTTTCCCTAGCACAAACTTTAACCATAAGGAGAAGTTCTGAGGACTTCTTGCAGTTCTTTGATAGTTACAATCTTTCTCTCAACTGCAGTACAGGAAGATGCAAACAATGTAAGCCCGTAATTGTTGATGTTCCTCGTCCACTAGCTACTTCGGTCATTGAATATTTCGGTTGCAAGTAAGTTATTACTTATTTAACAAATAGAAAATGCTAAAGCATGACATTTTGAAATGTTTCAGTGAGGAAAACTGCTGGAGAGTAAAATATGAAGATTTTCATTCATTATGTTAGATGGTTGTATTACATTCTTTAAGTCTGATTTCAGCTATGTTAACGAATGAAAATGCTGGAATTATGTATTGCTTTTTTGTTTTTGAGTGGGAAGATTTCGGAATTAAACTTTCAGTTAAACGTTATCTATCCGTCATAAGATGGAAATCTTGAGAATGAATAAAAAAATTTTTTGTTTTCGAAAAAAGATCGAGAGAGAGGCATAGTAGGAAGTTGTTATAATAAAATAAGGTAAGTGATTTAAATGTTACTGGTGAAGATGTCGGATCGTTTTCTGATTAAACACTCAAAATAAACTGTTTAATTAAATTATCCAGTTTGAAGGCTATTTCGAAGTACATATATCATGATACTTATATAATTTATATTTGAGATTTTAAAATCCATAAAAAATTGTGGTAAAACTTTCTGAATAAGCTAATCTGTCAGAAAAAATCTGAATAAACAAAAAGGTCAATCCTTTACTTCCTTAAAATGACATTTACTAATGTTATTTTGCCGTAATTTATAAAATGACATTTACCAATGTTATTTTACCGTAATTTACCAGCTTACTTATTCACTATAGCACATCACCTGATGCGAAACGAAAATTTGCTAAATACAATGCAAATCCAAGCCAAACTTTAGTGGGATTTGAAAAAATAGCGTACTTTTAATTCATAAGTTTCCAAATCCTAGCGCCAATCGAGACGTAAATGCAACCGAATTTATTGTAAATAGCTACCTAGAAGATTAGTTTAAGAAAAGTTTTTCGTTTTGAATCTTGCGCTTATCTAAAAGACGAATAAACTCAATTCTGAAACCTTCAATTTCTCATTGTCATATCATATCATACCATATCATATGTATATATATGACCGCCTACTTCTCAAGATTTCGCCAAAAAATTCCAAACATCACAGTAATATCCTACTCAATAAAAGAGATACTCAAAGAAAATTTCCCCTTGGTTCCTTTCAAACAGGTTACGTTGCTATTCTGAATGACACAGTTTCTGATTCGTATATTTTATTCAGAAAAAACCTAATGTTTTTTTATAGGCACTTAAAGAAATTGGCTTTCTGGAAAGTTGTTTGTTAAAAATCCGTTGTATTCTAAAAAGTTTGGCAACTTTTATAGGAACAAAAGGATTGCTTATGTTTTTCTGCTTTTGTTGCTATGTTTTTTAGAGAGCTTTGAAATTTTGTGGCCAAAGATGAGTGTACATTCAGTATTTAAGATGGTTTATTTGAAACACACGAACCTGAGGGGAACTTATTCAGAGATCAATCAAAAACATGCGAGGATATTGACTTGTTCAGACATTTTTTCTTCTCACTCTAACTTGAACAGATCAATTTTTTTTAAAAAAAAAAAAGATCTTATGAAAGAATCAAATAACACGATTTATCGGGTAAAAAAAATAATCCAAATGGGAATTTTTCAGTTTTATTTTTAACATCCTGATTTTATCTCAATTTCTGAAAACTTTTGATCTTAGGCACTGTAGAAATATGTTTCTGTATATCTTCATCCCTGGACTTGAATTATTTTCTTAGCGTATTACAGTCTTTGTTCTTCATTTCTCCCGTTTCGGTCTTTTGAGAATCCGGAATTTGAAATTCAGTTGATTCTTCTGACTGTTAAAATAAAGCAAATAGATCTTAAATCATTTTAAATGTTTCGTAAGAATCTGAGTAAGAAGGATAGAGCTAATGAAAGTATTTGAATTGAAATATTTTTTAAAATACCTTTAAATGCCAGAAAGAAAATCAGTGTTTCAACAAATTCAACAGAATTTATGATCAGTTTATTAGAAAGATTTGGAAAATTATAACCAAACTTTAACCTGTTTTTATTTCAACAGTTAATTTTTTCTATTGTCCAGTTTTAAATTCAAAGGATTCGAAGGAAGGAAATGACAATCGAAGTTCGTGTGTTTTTCACTCCCTGCAAAATTCATCGGTATCCTGCAATTTCATCACTGAACTATTTTCAAGAAAAATTTCGAAAAGCTTTACATAATTATTAAATATAAATAATAAAGATGAAACGTTACATGAGGGAAGCTTAATACAGCAACTAAAATCGTATTTTATCAATAAAATTTATTCTGAAAAATGGGTCTTATATTACAGCGTAGGCGATGGATGAGAAGAAAAGCACAAATAGCTAATTCTGATGCAAAAATAGATTACCAAATTTCCATGTAAGGATTTGTTGGCATGGTTGTATTGAGTGGTAGAGGCGCTATAAGAGATGAGAAGTGTTGAAGACTACTGGCGAAGGAATTTATTCTCATTTTTGAGGAATTTGGTTCGTGACAACTTATACAAAGTCGTTGAAGATGCAAAATTCATCGCTTTCATTGTGTCAAGTCCAGTTAATACTTTTGTTTATGAAGAAAAAGAAAACATATAGCATGTATGTACTGCTTGTAATTATGGCAGCTTCACTTAACAAAGAAGTTAGACGGAAAGGTATAATCAGTAAGGCTGGCGCAGCAGAATCGGCTTTGCTGATAGTGAAATCTTATACAAAATGTTACGATAGGCATATCTTTATCTATTTCCTACAAATTTTGAGTGCAGAATAAAAACCTAAAAAGGCCTGTTCCGTGAGCAATATTCCATTCTTATATGGATTTCAATTTTACATTTTGAAAATGCGTTAAAGTAAGTAAACGAAAGTGAGGAGCAATAAAATGTTCATGTTAGAGGAAAAAAGTTGAAAATAATATTAAAACACAATTAAATAAATATTCTCATTTAGAAGAATCGCATTGAAAAAAAATAGCTATGAAAAATGGTGGTATAATTTTGTTAGTTTGAAAATGCATTCAACAATATGCCTCTCCAGAAATTGATGTTGAAAAACATTAAACAGAAGAGAGTTTAAGAAGCTAAAGTTGATAAGGTTACTAATCGTGAAAACTGCACCAAACCAAGCCTTATGCATATCAAAAACAATCACTCTTTTACCTAACAGAGAGGAACTTTGACTTTTTTAAGGAATCGAACCACCAAAATCACTTGAATTTTTTAAATTGAAATACCAAATAAAATCATGATAATATGTTTGCTATCAGCCATTTATATGATCTATGTAACATACATCTCAGACATCAAATACAATTATTAAAACAGTAATTCATACAACTCAGCGCAAATGATTTAGTTTTAACATACAATTATATCAATAGCTTATTTCAACTTTATTTTGATCAATGCTTAACAGTAATCACATGAGAATATAACTCATAATGATAGCCTTTAAAGTTTATCTGAACTAATACAGATGAAAAATATTAAGAAATCCTTAGTGGAATATTTGGACAATAGTGGATAAAGGCCATGAAGAAGTTCGGTAACTTCCGCAATGACACCTGAGACTTTGCTCACCTTCTTAAACATCAGAGGTTGAGACCCAGTTTCAGGTGGGATTGCGAAGACCTTTACAACCAGCCAGGAACCTATAAATTTAACAGTACATGCCATCAGTTGTTTGAAATGAATACGAAAATAAATACATTATTCACTCGACATATATCACGCAAGGTTCAAACAAAGAAATGCCAACTTAGCTTAAACAGTCCGAATAAGCATTGAATGTTTATATGATAGGTATCATAAAAGATGTAAAATCATGAAAATTCTCGACGATGCGTTTTGATGTTGAAAATGAGCAGCATTATTATGAAAATGAGTTCAATGAGTTTTTATTTTAAATAAGGCAAGTAAGAATGATATCATTGATAAACTATGATGGAATAATGGAGAAAACTTTAAAGTGATGTATGCATTCTAATTTTCTCCATTTGAAAACTTGTTGTAACTAAGAATTCTTAAAAGTGAAACGCACAAATAACATTAGAATAAATAAGAATTTCGAGACTAAAGATTGCTTTTCATGCTATCAATGTAAGATTTAAAAAACTTTGATAAACAAAGATTAAATAATCTCACTTATATTTTCAACTGCAAATCCCTTTCCTTTTCTCAATTAACATTTCCATATCATCCCAATAAGCTCTTTCTTTTCTCAGCTTCATCATTCTAAAAGTAAATTATGTGAATAGTTCATAAATTCAAAGAACTCAAAAAAGGCAACTGAAAATACCAGTCAGGAAAAGAAGAAATAGAACGTATGTGATGAGAGAGAGAGAGAGAAGATTCGAGCAATGTTCCGAAATGTATCTATCGGGGAAAAACACAATGAATGAT